TAACAAACTAAATAAAACTTTGCACAAACTGTAAAAATCATCTGAGTTTTTGGCTGCCAGACGTGTCGGTTCTTAGCATAGAGGTGGAAAATATTGCAATCCTGGAAAGTTAGGATATCCATAAAATTCACCCTTCATTTATTTATAAGTCAACATAAAATATCCCTGAAATTGAGAAAATAGGCACTTATGTGAATCACTTACCAAGAGAAGCATGCTTAAACAGTCACAAAAACTGTTTTCATAACACGATACAAGTTTGCTTCATCGACAATACCTCTATAAACGTGATCTGGGGGAGGATTAGTTTGCCCCTAAATTCCCTCCTGCTCTGTTACTCTCTGGCGCCATAACAATCTGGCTTTATGATTACTCATAAAAAATTATATCCTGCATTACCTGGGCTCGATTCTCGTTGGGGATGCTGATAAGACCCGGACGAAGTCAAAACTGCGGTCCATTTTGGATAAGTGTCTTCTAAAAAAGACTACTGGATAGACTTCATCGGCATCGCGAGGCTACTTTTACCATTGTGGAAAAAGCCGGTAATCAGTAATTTATCGCCTAGAGTTGGGAAGACTTTCATTCTGTATGAAAGTGGATAAAAAAGAGATTCGAAGGCCGATCTCACCAGAAGACGACGGCTGATGTAAGTTGTGCTGCAGCCGTTTGGTTTAACTACAACGTTAAGGCTGACGCAGTCCACGAGACATCCTCCCTCGTTTCGAATGAAAACGGACTGAGCTGTCGTTCATCGTCAGAGCCGGAACTCCTTCTTGTAAAAGTCTTACGTTAACAGTAGGTCAAAAAGACTATCTGGCTCTATCTTACCTCTTTTATATACTTATAATTTAAAAAAATCTATAGGCATAGATAGATATAGAATGGTTTGGCTAACCAACTTTCATCTAATTTATCATACTTTCACTTGGGTGTGTGTGTCTCTGTCTGGGTATTAACGTCTATACATAATATTGGTCCTAAACCAGAGTGATCATAAAAGCCGAATGCCAGGCTCTAGCCATCAGGGTTTAATGACCCAAGCAAAAACTCCTATCGAGACTGCGTAAGTCTCCGGTTGAGACAATGATGACTTACTATAAACGACTCTTCTTGGCTTACCCTCTTCTCTAACGATCAGAATATCCAAAAAGGTTGGGGACCAATTCTCTTCCATTTCTATCACCAGCCTAATGTTTCTTTCACGTTGGTTAAGTGAAAGTAGGAAGCCATCAAAGCTTTCCTTACCATGACACCAGATGATAAAATAGTTAAACATGTATCTAACCGACAATCCAAGAATCAGTTTTGCCTCTTCTGAAAAGTGTTCCTCAAGTGTAGCCATATAATTTTTATTCAGGCTGGGAGCTAAGCAAGATCCCATCGCAAATCCTTGTGTCTTCTCATTAAGCTTACTTAATAAATCTGAGTACGGACTAAACCTTAGTCCTGCTGTGATCTATATATGCTTCTTCAGAGTTTCTACTAGAGCCCGAATATCCCCTTAAACAGAAATTTTGGTGTACATAGACACAAATCCAAAACTTGCTAGCCTATCTTTTTCTGAAGTTATTTACTGAGAAATCCATTTTGTAGGCCAATAAGAATTTTAAACTCAATATAGCCAAAAATCAGCAGCTTGGCTTTGTTGTATGCATTAAAAAGTGAGATTTTATGCATCATTCTTCCTTTATTAGTAACAACTAGCTTAAGGGTGGCCCCCTCCTTGTGAACCTTAAGAAGACCGTAAGCCCTATGGCTCTTGCTTCTCCATTAAGTATTAAATTCATTTTACACTTCTCCATTTCCCCATTACTTACGCATACCTTATGGGCATCCTTCAGTCTTGTTTAAAGTCTCTCAGTTGGACCTTTCATTAAAGGCTTATGAGAATCAGTTTCACTTAAATGAATTAGCATTATTTCTATATAATTTGACTGCCACTGATTCACCTCTGTCAACCTTCATAACGCTTAGATAGTTGTGACATAAATAACCATAAACCCTACAAAGAATACATAATTGGATAATCTGATCACCAGCTCAATAATATTCTTCACCTCCAGAGCAACCCAGCAGATAAGCTAATCCATTCAACAAGTGTGCCCAGAAAATAGTTAACTTCATTTGGAAGAACAAAATGCAATCTTCTTTCCAATAAAAGTTCCACACTATCCTCCAGAGTTATACTGGATAAATTGGCTACTTTATCGTTCCAGAAGTTAAAAAAAAGATTATTACGAGTTACCTCAGGCGAAAATCTTTTCGATCTCTGTTCCTAAGTTTCTTATCATGTATTTGCCTAATCACTCTATCCATGTTCTCTCCTAAGCCGTTTGCCATATCCTGTAATTACTTAGTTCATGTAGTCTGTTAAAGCTTTCCTTGGACCTTGTTTTAACGAATCTACACGATACCTGATAGAGTTCTTTATTAGTTGACACAGGAACAACCTAACGAGAAATACAAATTTTTAATTGTAATTAAATCTATTAATTTGCTAGGCTATAGTTTGCTTGGTTATAGTGTAGCGAGAAGACAATTGACAAGAAGTTGAATCATATAAACATTGTAGATACAGAGAGAGTAACTGCTTTCCGATGAATCACCTGAGATAATTACTGTCATTTCGTATGAAAGGGCATGAAGAAGAATCCCGTAGGTCGATCTCACCGAGAGACGACGCTGATTCACGTTGTACTGAAACCGTTTAGCTTTAATACGACGTTCAAGTTGACGCAGTCCACGAGACATCCTGCCTTGTTTCGAGTGAAAATGAGCTGAGCTTTCGTCCATCATATGATAGACACCGTCATAACTGGAACTAAAGCTTGCACCTCATAATCCATACCAGAGATGCCTACTGACTCACACAGTCTCGGTCATAATTTTACTTCGACCAATAAGCCTAGATGACCAGGGCCTGACATACGGCTTTAGTTATTATTATGATTTAAGCTTGGTAGTGCGTATAGCCATTGACCCACATACGCACACACTTGGGTAAAAGTAGTATAATTAAGTCAAAGTTAACTAACAAAAGCATTCCATATATATGTCCAAACATTTTCATTTTTTAGTATGAGTATATATAAGAGTTAAGATAGAGCCAAGCAGTCTTCTT